AACCAAGTCTTCACCCTAAAATTAATGATTCCCCTCATGGGGACCTCCAATTTGTCCCCATAAGCGAAGCCAGTCCCCACACGTGACTGTGTAAACAGATTTAGGTCTCCACAAGTATAGTAATGCTAGGCCACACACACACACACACACACACACACACACACACACACACACACACACACACACACACACACACACACATACTTTTGTCTTTCTTTGCTCTATGTTAATTTTCAAACACTGCATGTGAAATACACTAAAGTGAATCCTGTTGAATCTGAGTTGTGTTCTTAGGAAGTTGGACATTCCAGAAATAACTGATAGAAAACTGAACTTAACTCGTACAAATTTGAGTTTTTTCACGAGTGTAATCTTACAGCATCACATCCTTCATCTCTTTATATAGCTCATATTATTTGAAGGCGTGTAGCTGCCACATTGAGCAGAGGAAGTCTAGATGAGAGAGAGTACAGATGGAGGCTCAGTTTTCTTTCTCACACACTTTGTTCCTGCCAAGCTGTGACCTCTGAGCTGAGGGCAGCCACGAGGCAGAGCATGCAAACACACCCAACAAAAACATATGAAGAAATAAATGTGAAGTACTTGTGAACTCTTTATAAAATAAAAGGTAGCTGCTGCTGGAGTTTTCCAGAAGACGTTTTTGCATGTTTCAGTAATGTACCAACAGATGTCCGAACAGCTGTCAAAGGCAAAACACCTGCTTGGACGTAAAGCTCCCAGGGAAAATGTAACTGCGTGTTTTACTTCCATCTAATAACATATCAACATCTTTACAGAAAGTACTTCTTCTCAAAATGTATGACAAACAATTTGGAGACAATTCAATATAAAGAATGACATCAGAGGTCACGCTTTCCTAACTTGTAGTCCCTATTAGTGCCAATAACCCTGGATACTACATTTCCCATGATGCAACTGGATCTTCCTTTACCCATTTTCAGCAATGTAAAAACTCATGTTTTTCAAAGGTTGAGGGATCAGCTGACAACATTTAATCAAGCGCTGTCAAAATATACCTGTTCTTTACTTGGGTATTTCCATTAATGCTTCTTTATGTTGCTTCTCCAACACATTTTAAACTGTGTTTCATGATACACTAAAAAAGCTCTGTCTGGCTTGAGACCCTTTCAAAAGATGCAGTATGTTGATAAGCCATACACATTTCCACCCAAACAAACTTTGACACAGCAGTCAAATCCAGTTTACACGTTTTTTACTTTCATGTATTTGTATTATATTCTTCAAATGACACCTTTTGTGTGTTTTTGCAGACTCTGTATTTTTCCTAATTTATCGTAGTAAGCCTGCTCAGAGAAAACTAGTTTTAAGTCTTAGTTCTTATGTCAAGAAAGCATATTCTATTAGTGTATCTGGGTTTTAAGGCTATTTTTGATATGTTGGCGCTGCCTAAATGATTTATTTAATGTATTTAATTATCCCAGGAATAGCAGAGGCATTATATTTCCTACAAACACACACCAGGAGTCCGCCTCAGTGTCTCAGCTGGTATCAACGCAGCACAGATGTCCTGGTGGAGTTTATTTAATCTGTACAGAGGCTAATCTGCACCGCTGATAGTGTCGCTGCATCTGTGCTGCGTTCAGATACAACATGCCTGAGTGTCCGCAGTGATGTGGACACAGTGTGCCTGTTCATAAACACAACACGTCTTAAAACGATGATCAGTGGTGGGGGAAACATTCAGGTCTTTACAGAAAGAAAAAAATCTGAAATATGTTATTGATCTCTGCGGGGACAGGTTTTTTTTAGTTCCCTTTTAGAATGAAATACATATAGAGGAGTTCAACTGTGGACATTGTACCTTGAGGTTATTCCTGGTTTAGTTTATGTTTCAGTATTTGTAAGTGACTGAAAGAATATTGCTTTTATTTTACTTTTTAATGCTTATTTCATTTTTATTTATTTGTGTAAGAAGGGGCAGGTAGACCAGTATAAGTGTTAATGTTTTTTAAAGTTGTACATGTTTTGTTTTAAAATAACTGCCATGTGGGGAATAAACAAATACAATTAAAAAGTAATACAAATATAAGTATGTATATTTCAATAAATACAATAGTTACCTAGTACACTATCAAAATATACCTTGACTCCATAAAGCATGAACATCTATATAAATTATAACAAGTTAAAGTATGCAAAATACCCCCTGAAACTGAGACGTTGTACATGTTGTTATTTTTCTTCTTTACTTGCTTGTAAAGCGCTTTGAGCACCAGGATAAGCGCTATATAAATGATATGTATTATTATTATTACATACAGTTTGCCCCCTCCGGAAACAACCATCCCTCCACACAGCCCTCGTCCCTCTGGTGGTCAGACCCCCTCCCTGCACTCTGACCCCCGGCTGCCCCCTCCTCACTTTCCTGAGGTAGACTCAGGACGTGTGTTCAGATCTAATCAAACACAGCTCACCTTGAAGCTCTGCCACGTCTCCAGACTGATGTAACACACACACACACACACACACACACACACACACACACACACACACACACACACACACACACACACACACACACACACACACACACACACACACACCTCCACTCAGCCTTAAACACTACAATCCACCTCAGCCTCCATCACAGATCACACGTCGAAGATAAACAAACACAGATGGAGGTCGAGCTGCGTCTGGAGGCAATAGGCGCTGTCACACCGGAGTACCAGGAATCTTATCACAGAAATCCATTTCAACTTGCATCTGAGAGTATGTGTGTGTGTGGGTGTGTGTGTGTGTGTGTGTGTGTGTGTGTGTGTGTGTGTGTGTGTGTGTGTGTGTGTGTGTGTGGCCTAGCATTACTATACTTGTGGGGACCTAAATCTGTTTACACAGTCACGTGTGAGGCCACACACACACACACACACACACACACACACACACACACACACACANATAAGATAACTTTAACAAGATGCCTGTGTGCTTAGTACCAGGTTGTTATCATACCAGCAATGGGTCTTCCTCATTCTTTCGCTTCCCGTCTGATGAAAGGACCAGGAGTGGCTGGATCAAGTTAGCTACCTAGCTAGTTTGCATTACAGCCTTGTAATTTTTATTAGCCTTAATATGAAGTAACATTAAATAACCCAAAATGTTAAACAGTAAGAGTAGTAGTCATATTTCGTGAACCCTATGAAGAGTACTGTCACCGGTCTGATACACCATTTAAGCCCGGGGGAGAAATGCTAACGCAAGCATCGGCGATCGCCAATCTTTTCTACTTCATGCTATCTGCACAAAAGGTTGACATTAAAGATTAAAAAGACCAGGCAGTTCAGAGAGAATCAAAGGAAGGCAAGCAGGCAGCTTTGCATGACATTCTTCTGGACGTGTTTCATTGTGTTGATAGTGAG